ATGCTTTGTTGGAGAGAAAGGGTCTGAGCCAATAAGACAAGAAGTGGTTGACATTGAAGCCCTGGTCTGGTAGGACTCGAGTCAGGCACTGTCTAGTGGTATGAGTATGAGCAAATCTTTAGCCTCAGCTTGCTTAACTGTGAAATAAAGGGGTTGGCCGAAGTGATATTCATGATACTTTCCAGCTATGAAATTTTGAGTTGTAATGAAACGGAACCAACACAAATCTTTCCAGCCTCAAGCCTCAACCCAACTGGTATTTCGCTGTCAGTCTCTATTATCAGTTTTAGTGACATGTTCCAGAATAGACCCATATTTAGTCAAGGGGTAGTGCTGACTCAAGGACAGACAGTTAGAAACAGATTTTCAGTGGTCTCTGTAATGTTGACGTAGTACCTAAACTCTGAAGTGAGGTCGTCAATACAAGTTCAGGTTACCTTGGAGCCAACTTTGTTGCACAACCCCAAAGTGATGCATATTTGTCTAAACACACTGTAGACTCTGAAACTAAAAGTAATATTCAACCACTTTGTAATTATGCCTTTTAGAAATAAGATTGAATGTTTGATTTTCCATCATTCTTTCTTTTGTTAAAAGTTTGCTTTAGTGAGTTTGAATTGATATCCAGCTACCTTCTGGATCCACCCCTGTCTGCTTATGGTGTCATAGTTCTGTGAGATAGGACATCACCAATGAGGACATAAGATGAATGGGGCTTAATATGGTGGTAGTGGAGTCAGGAAATCTGGTTGAAATCTTTGGAAGTCAGGGACTTGGTATGGGGGAGGGGACAAATTGCAAGTATCCAAAGTTTTTGCACTTGCCATTTTTAGAGATGCCAGGAGTTCACAAACATCTTGACAATCTCATCACAGCAAAGACCAGTGAACTCTTTTGTAGAAATATTTTTGCAAAAAACAATGTCCTTATCTGCCCTTAATTTCCTTCATCCACACTAGTAATTCAGTTGAATCAAATTCTGCAGGTTTGAGTTGGGTACCAGTGTAGAATTTTTGGAGACCATCCTTATTTCCTGTTATCTGTAACGTGTTTCTGGCAAAAGTGATGTAGTCGTGTCCACATGGGGCACCTGGTGACAGGGCATGAAGGGTTTGCAAAGGGATGTGTACATATGGCTGAGTCCCATGGGCATGTACATCCATTGTGTTGCATCTGAGGATTCTGAGACTGTGAGCAGCAGTGCCAGACTTCTGTTTGTGCTGGCACTCTTCGGAGACCTGAAGAAGCAGGCGCTTCCTTACCTGACACACCTACGCATGGAGTTCTGTTTTTT